ACATTAAATCTGTAGACTGGCTCACGAGCTAGGAGGTGCCTATCATCTCAGGAGGATGCACAATGGGTCTAATGATGCCTATGTGCCGTGGGGGTAACCCACCCTCCACACGTTACAGATACAGAACTACTATCTAAATTTAGTAAGTTATTTCACCATTCCTGAATTTTCTTACATTTTGTTCTTACATCTTCTCTTATCACGTCTCTTTTTGTGATACCATAGAAGGGTTCTGAGCCATACACAGTCTGTGAGGGGTTTTCCCGAGTTAAATATTGTCAGTTGCTATTAGTTTCCTTTGGCATGGTACCAGGCTAAGGTTAGGCTACAGACTACTCAACCCTGTTGTGACTTTCAAACAGCATACTTATGCTCCTTGGAACTGTTTGTTGTTATCGTTGTTTGACCTAACAATGTTTTTTTTTTTTTATTAACCTGCTGTAAATAGCTCAGATTCAAGGTTCATTTTTAAGTCAATTTCTGTAATCGTTGGTATTAGATAAAATGTATGTTTAATTGGTAATAATTGTTCATAGACTAAAAAGTGTCCGCTTGAAAACTAAAATCGACATGTCTCGTCGATTTTGCACCTTATTCATTTTAACATATTTGGAATGGGTTGTTTTTAAATGAAAATATTGTATTTGCTATTCCCAAATTTCTAATGTATGGGAATTACTTGTTTTATGTTATGCTTATGTTTTAAAACCTGAATGTGTCAGTATAGATTCAATGCAATTTATAAAAATAAAACCGCTCAGACACATCCTGTTATAATCTGCAAGAAAAACAAATCAGATATTATATCATCATTAAACGTTTCAGTCTAGTGAACAATAATTACAAACCACGCACGTAGTAGTTATAGTAAATCATTCTTTATAAAGTCAAGGTCATAGTATGCGACTAAAACTAAAAATATGAATGAATATGTAAAGTATAAGTTTTACTTAAATATATTTTTTCCATTTTCTGCATCTTCTCCAATATAAAGGATTCAGACGTAGGGCACCCTGCAGGATGGTTCAGGATCGGACTTTAATTTATTGGTACGATTTAGTTTATAATTATGTTCGTAAATAGTAAATATCTCAATAGGAAAGAAAGTGTTATAGGTATCTAAATATTACATTGAATATTTAAAATCACAGCAGGATGTTAAAAAGATTAATGTTTGAACAATATTTTTTTCGAGTTGTTTGCATTCTCTTATTGTAAGAAATTTAAACATACAGTGTCATCGTTAGACCCCATCATGTTTTTTTTTATTTGTAAAATTATTTTTTAACCACATTAGTAATTTTTGATTTAAAATGTAAAACACAAATAAAAAAAAAACAAAAAAAAATATGTAATATGTAAATACCTTATTTATGGTCCACCTGTGTGTGTCCAAAAAAATGATTTGATCGACCCCTAAGCCAAAAAGTATCCCTATCTTATGTACTGTAAAAAGGGCAAAACATATCCATATATACAAGGTGTCCCAAAAACATACAAACTTTAAGAGGTGAAAGGAGGTGAAAGGAAACATCAAAAAAAACTTTTTTTTGGTTTATTAAACATAAAATAACTGGCTGGGCTGTAGAGCAATAAATTTTTTTTAAATATCTCCAAAAACTTTAGTTAATTCTTCATTTAGTTGAAGACCACTGTGTTTAATTTGACATTTTCTATATTTTCTACATTTTTTTTGTTGGGGAACAAAATCATTTCTTTATAACAAAGCTTTTAATTTTAAGACCATAGTATACTATTTGTTAATTCAAAATTTGTGTCGAAAATATGCGATAATTTTTCATTTCAAGAACTTACTGATATGAACCTTGCTCATGGTACGGCCAATTGTAATGAAAGAGAAGCTGAAATATTGTGTAAACAAAGATATCCGGAACGCTTGCAATGAGTTCTACACCATGTAGACGAAAATTAATCCACAAATGTTTGCGCATTTGCCCACTATACTGGATCTTCTAAGTCAACGGTTCAACATGTCCTGCATGAACAACTACTCCACCCCTACCATTTAAATCGATTAGCCAATGGTTTTTGGATTATAACTTAATAGAACCTCACTCCGGGAGAAAAGTATTGTTTACTGATGAGGCATATTTCACGCGCGATGCTTATTTTAATAGTAGAAACAGTCACATTTGGCACGATGAAAATCTTCATGGTGTGGCCTTTAGAAGACACCAGCAACAATTTTCTCTAAACATGTGGGCTGGTATTGGTAAAGACAATCTTATAGTTTACTTGCTGCCTGCTCGTTTGAACACAAACATTTATTTCAATTTTCTGCAAAATGTTTCGTCTGTATTATTGAAAAATGTTCCTTTGGATATTAGAAATAATGTGTAGTTTCAACATGGCGGGACACCTCCATATTTTGGTTTGAACGTGCGTCAGTATTTGGACAAGTGATTTCATCGCCGATGGATTAGAAGAGGAGGTTCCGTGGAATGGCCCTCGTATTCTCCAGATCTCAACCCTCTAAACTTTTTCTTTGGGGTTATCTGAAATCTTTAGTCTACGAAAGGCCTATTCGAATTAAGATTTCTTAGTAAAAATAATGGCTAGTTAAATAAATATAGTCATGTAGAAGGTATTTCAGAAATATTCCATAGGGTCTGCGAGTCAATGAACTGATAGTACTATAATTTGATATCATAGTTAACGTGGACTAAATAAAACACTATAACTAGTGCAATGAAAACAAATAGAAAAACGATTGAAGACAATAAGAAATACGAAAATAAATTATTAACATTTTGCATGTTCCTTAGGAGGAGCAACGATACCATCTATATCTGTAACGTGTGAAAGGTGGGCCCATTGTGCATCCTTCTAAGATGATAGGCACCTCCTAGCTCGTGAGCTAGTCTACAGATTTAATGTAGTTGACAACGTCGTCAAAAGGTGCTTTCCCTATATCGGCCGGTGTTAGCCGATACTCGCCGAACATAAATCTTCTAATAAATGCGAATGTCGGGCACTCATATAGGATATGCTCGATGATCTCATCTTCTTGTCCGCACCCCCTGCACAGTGCAGATTCTGACATCCCCATGATATTGAGATAATTCCGTACTTGGCAATGACTTGTCAGAATGCCTGTGACCAGGCGCAGATTCTGTCAAGTATTTGTTTGCTGTAGTGTTGTCAGGATAACTTAAAAGCTCCCTGGAATATCTGTAGTTTCTTATTTCGTCCCATCTTTCCATGAATTTCACAACGAAATGTTCTTTAGTTAGGTCTGTAATTATCGATTTTGTCAGGCCAATAGAAGGGCCAGGTCCAAAAAGTATTTAGTTGGTTGCCTTCTGCTAGTGAATTAACAAGACGGTTACCTTTCGATGTGGCGTGACCTTTGATCCATCTTAAGGTGACCACATTGTTGATGGATACTTCGGCCCAAGCTTAGTGACATTCTAGTACTAACCCCGAGCAAATTCGTGGTCTGTTCAGGGTGGGTAGTTCTTGTCTGTTTTCTGTATAGATGAGCATGTTCCTTTCAGTGATATTGTTTCTGGTGATTTCTTTTGGTGTTATGAGAATGCCCGTGAGCTCTGTTTGAACTACACTGGCATTATTGCTCACAGCCCATTTTATATGTAGCTTTAATGATGTGGAGTAAATTCCACATCCTGAGCCTTGCTTTGTTTTAGAACCGTTGGTCGGTGTAGATATGAATCGTACCTGTCACTTCTGGCTCTTCTATTTATTCTGTTATAACTTTATATGGCTTATGAAAGATATATCTCGGTGAGATGGAGTCCATGTTCCTGTGAAGCAGTGGGAGAGTATCGAGCGCCTAGTGCCAAAAGTGACACCTCGCCTCACTAGATCCTATAGCAGGTTCTATTCCATCCGTACGAAGGCGTGTCAGGCGTGTCAGAGCAACCTTCTTGATGTATATAGCAAAAGGAGTGAGACTAACGGTACCAAACATAAATTATTTCTGCGGTTAGATCGCCTAACTTTATTAGAGCCTGCGAATTTGATACGTTTGAAAGACATGAATTTCAAATTACGCACAGTCTAATACTATTAAGAGATTTAACAAGTGTTCTTGCAACTTGTAACCTATTGTGGATAACTTAAATTAGCATGGTGTACTCTGATATCAACGTCAAACGTAGAAATAAGTGATGTTTATGCATCTACATATCTATCTGTTTAAAATAGCTCCCTACCAGTAATCATATCTATCATTAAAAAAAAAAAGAAGTTCCGCTGGGTTTAGAAAAACAAATCAATATGAAATTATTAGTTTATACTTAAATTCATTAATTAATGATCTCATGAAAATTCTATCTTTTGCATAAAAGTTTAATACATAAAAAAGAAAATACCTTTCAAATGATGTGTTATTTTACCCCCTGTTTCATTTAGTTTTCTTACGGGATTGTCACCCCATTCAGAAGAATGACCCTACATCCATGAATTAACGATTAAAAGAAGTTCTCCTTAAAAGCAAAGTGGACTGTTTAAATTGGACCCTGTATAATAATTTTTACTGTTAATTAATTATATATAGCGATATTATTTTAATTTTACTATTGTATTTAATTTTATTATTGTGTGTATTTAATTTTCTTATAAAATCACTCTCGTTTTTGAATTTTTATTATTTTCATCTACACTTTTTGAGAAAACTAATTTTGAAATGAATGAATTAAATAAAAATTTCCGCTAATAACTCACGCACTAGTGAGAAGTATGTATTATATTATATACGTACTCGTATTTTAAAATCGCACGTCGAAATTTATTCCCTAATATCTCTATTACTAAAGAAAAGTGCTAGACTATCTATTGCATGTCGGCTAGTAAAAGTTATTATTGTTTTAGGTGCGGTGGTCCTTTGACAAAAATATCGCACATTTCAGTTATCCATCGATTCTACATTAATGCTGTGATACTTCTTACAAGTGGGTATGGCTACTTTCGATATCCTACTTTCTCTGAAATGTCCGCATGGTCATATCCTAACTTTACTGAACTCCTTGAAGAGGGGAGTCATCTCATGAGGTGTATTGCACACCGATTGTATATAACCATACCTTTCAGACTTAGCCGCTTATTTACCAAAATCTATCAATATCCTGAAGTTCATGTAGTGCAGTTTTTGTGGGTCCTTATGTGATTTTTTCCAATTGGATTAACATGTGGTCGAGACAGGTAATTAATGAAAATTAGTGTGACAATGTGAAGTGTTTAAAGTGAATTGTGTCAAATTTGGGATGTTTTTAATTATCCATGGATTTATTTTTGAGGATTCACCGTTTCTTTAAACAAATATTTTGTGGATAGTAGGATTAATTTTGTGGAAAGAAAAAAAAAATAATACGATTCAAGAAGTCTGCCAGAAACCATTTTTATAAAAAAAGTTAATTAAAAAGTATTGCATTTCTACATTAGGGGAGATTAGCTTGATTTATGTCACATATGTTTATTTTCTTTAATTAAATAATAATGTCTAAAAGTTTGATATGGTAAATTTTGAGAAAGTAAAGAAATAATATGAGTTTAGTTCTTTAGTTTTACAGACAATTTTAAGTTTTATGATAGCTTATTAAATTTTATACTATTTATAAAACAGTGATTTTTGTTACATTGTTTACTATTTTGAGAATTTACTGCTAAAAATTAAAGCTTCAGTATTTTAACAATTTATTGGAAGACCGTATTATTTTTAATATACAATATTTTATAATTATTATACCGGGTGTTCAAATTAAAGTGTTACAGCTAGATACCGCCTATTATAAAAAAAAACGTTTCAGACAATAGTTTTGTGGAGAAAAATTTTTGGCTAAAATCGTTTTTTATAGCTAACCATAATATGGCCAACTTTTTTTTTGTCCAGCAAAATTTTCAAGTAGCTGTTACTCAAAAAGTAAAAGTCGAATAAAAAAAATATTTCCATCAAAAGTTTTTTATTTTTTTATGTACTTTAGAATATGTAAAAAAATGGGGTTCCCATTTAAAAAAACAAAGTCCACCTCGATATGGCCATATTATGGTCAGCTATAAAAAATGAATTTAGCCAAAATGTTTCCCTCAAAAAAACTATAAAACTTTTGTCTGAAACTTTTTTTTCTAAAATGCATATTTTCGTCGGTATTTAACTGTAACACTTTAATTTGAACACCCGGTAGAAGTTACTCAGGGCATTTTCAATTTAACAAAATGTATTCATCTTAAAATATACGACTCTAAAAAAGCAACTTATTCAAAACGAATGTTCTGTAATTTTACTTGATTTTAAATACAGACACTTGTTAATAATGAACAGTTAGATTATTTTTAATTTCAAACCGGAATCAATAATATGACTCACTTTTTATACAGGCTACGAAGGAAATAACAGCGCTGTTCCTAAAGTGGCACTGGGAAACAGTAACCAATCCTACACAGAACAAATATTTATAAAAAAAAAAAAATTAAATTATAAAGTACCGTGATAAATAGAATTACTTATCCGACACTCAAAAAAAAAGTAGCAGTTGATAGTCTGTCATTTGTCATTCCGATACAATGAAAATAAACCTAAATTTTAAATATTTTTCAAAAATACATGACGTCTGATAGAACTCTGAAAAATAAGTAGGGGTTGCTTTATAAACATAGGTCTTACAGTTGCGTACAAAATAGAGGAATTTAAGGGGTCCCATACGGCCTCTATACCTTTCTAGCAAAAGTGAATCAATTGTGTGTGTTTTAGTGTGCCAAGTTTATAAAAAAAATATACTAATATCAAAGTTATGGAAAATCATTTTTAACTTTAACACAAAAATGGAGGACATATGTTTATTAAGTAAATTTTACTTATTTTCAGAGTTTTATCAGCCCTATAATTTATTTTATGTTTTTTCTTTTTGAAACCTCTTGTATAAATTACTTACTACCTACTTTTACAAAATGCTTTTCTTTTCTGGTTATGAAAGTAATTTATTAAAAACAGACACTTGTCTTCGAAATTAAATACTTAAATACACAAAGTGGCATGCCCTCTAAAGTTCAAGACTGGAGAAAGTCTTTCAAAATAAACACGATTTTTAATAGCCTCGTACAAGGTGAGCCAAATCTTTAAATACTATCCTTATGGCATTTCTTGAGAGGATTATAATATACAAAGACATTCATGAATATAAAAGTTTGTCATGATAATACCAATAAAAACAGGAACAAAATTATACAAATTCGATAAAATATCTATTGGCCAAGTAAAAGATTAATGTTCGAACGCGCATATTTTGGTATGTTTTTTACGACGTTATCACTTTTCAAATTATGACGTCATCGCCAGTTTTTTAAAGGACCCCGCACTTTTCTTATGCAAATTTTCTGAAACTTTGGTATGTTGTTGTAGTCAACCTAGTAAAGTTTCAATGGGCCCAACTCAATCCTATGACTAGTTTTCGATATACTAGGTGTTAAACTTGAAAATTACCCAGTTTTTGGGAATTTTTATTTGCAAATTTACGAGCTAGATTGAATTTCTGATGTTTACTATGAGTTTTAGTAACACATTAGTACATACGTACAATTAAAAATATGTATAATTAGAGGGTGATTCACAAATGTACGACGGCATTTTTTTGTAAAATCACACTAATTCTACTGTGCGGTCAGAGAAGCATATTTTCAAAAAGAACTACTTAATATGGTGTTTTGACGACAAAATATTGCGCCTTACACATTTCTTATACAGGGTGTTTTATAGAGAGAACCACAGCATAAAATAATTTTTTTTAACGATTAATTCAAAACCCTGTATTTATGAGTTGAAGTTTTGGAAAGGTAATATCACTTAAACATATCTACCTATAAGCTTCAAAATATACATGGTGATTTATTTGTTGAAAGGTATTCTATATTATGAAAAGTACAAAAACCACGAATTCTAAAATTTCCCCCGTCAAATGTAACCATTTTCTCAATATATAATAAATTTAATGTCGTTTTAGGAAGTATAAATTTTAAATCCGATACTATGAGTAGTTTTCGAGATACAGGGCGTTAAAGTGAAGAATTGCTGATTTTAGTTATTTTTTCTTCAAACTGAAAAGATAGATTGACTTAATGTATGTAAAAGTTTAATATAATTTTTGGTCAGATGTTCATAAAAAAGGACATTTAAAAATATATACTGCTACAGGGTGATTCACGAATAAATCACAATATATTTTTGAAAACACTCAATAATTCTACAGTTGCGCCAAAGATAAATTATTTCATTATCTTAATATCTACCCGTTAACACTTTTGAGGTTAAAAGATTTGTCTATTTGTACTTTTTATACAGGGTGAGCCATGTAGCCAACCACCAAAAATAATTATGTTTTGAAATTATTAAAACAAGACCTTGGATTTCTTTAGAGACTTTTGAGTAAGTTAAATTATGGATGTAACCATAAGATTTTGAAATATATCGGTATACCACATCATTTTCTGGTATTGGTGATAAGTTTTTATACACAATTAATAATTATCCATTTTCTTATGTAGGTATAATTTAAATACTGGTTTTAACGGATAAATTATCAAGGCTAAGAAAGATAATCGGAAATTCGAATATAACTTTTATTCTGTTGAAAGACAAAATCAATACAATCAATAAAACCATCACTATTTGTACATTAATTGTTTTTTACGTTTTTTACGTTCGTATCTATAGTTTCATTCATTCCTGTATGGAATATCCGCTAAATATTATGTATTATGTGCCTGTACAATATACGAACCCAGTGTTACAAAATTAAAAGTTATATTCGAATTTCCGAATTTCTTTCTTAGCCTTGATAATTTATCTAACGCTAAAACCAGTATTTAAATTAGACCTACATAAGAAAATGGATAATTATCAATTGTGTATAAAAACTTATCACTAATATTGAAAATGATATGGTATACCGATATAATTGGTAATTATAAATCAATTAGATTATCCTGCACTTATATTTCAAAATCTTAAAAGTCTTGTTTTAATTATTTCAAAATATAATTATTTTTGGTGGTTGGCTGCATAGCTCACCCTGTATAAAAAGTACAAATAGCGAAAACTTTTAACCTCAAAATTGCTAACGGGTAGAGATTAAAATAATGAAATGATTTATCTGTGTCGCAACTGTAGAATTATTGAGTGTTTCCGAAAATATATTGTGATTTATTCGTGAATAACAGTAAATATTTTAAAATGTTCCTTTTTATGAACATTTGACCAAAAATTATATTAAACTTTTATATACATTAAGTCAATCTATCTTTTCAGTTCGAAGAAAAAATAACTAAAATCAGCAATTCTCCACTTTAACGCCCTGTATCTCGAAAACTAGTCATAGTATCGGATTTAAAATTCAAACTTCCTAAAACGACATTAAAATTATTATATATTGAGAAAATGGTTATATTTGACGGGGGAAAATTTGGTTTTTGTACTTTTGTTAATATAGAATACCTTCCAACAAATAAATCACCTTGTATATTTTAAAGCTTAAAGGTAGATATATTTTAGTGATATTACGTTTCCCTAAATTCAACTCATAAGTTCAGGGTTTTGAATTAATCGTTAAAAAATATAATTTTATGTTTCTATAAAACACTCTGTATAAGAAATGCGTACTGTGCAATATTTTGTCTTCAAAATACCATATTGAGTAGTACTTTTTAAAAATATGCTTCTCTGACCGCACAGTAGAATTAGTGTGATTTTACAAAAAATTGCCGTCATACATTTTTGAATCACCCTCTAATTATACATATTTTTAACTGTACGTGTGTACAAATGTGTTACTAAAACTCATAGTAAACGTGTGTATGCATCAGAAATTCAATCTAGCTCGTAAGTTTGCAAATAAAAATTCCCAAAAACTGGACAATTATCAAATTTAACACCCCGTATATCGAAAACTAGTCATAGGATTGAGTTGGGTCCATTGACACTTTTGGTTACTAGGTTGACTACAACAACATACCAATGTTTCAGAAATTTTGACGGGTCGCCACTTTGCATAAGAAAAGTGCGGCGTCCTTTGTACTACCAATTTTTGATAGTACCATTTAAAAGCGTAATTTTTTACCTATACATTTTGTGTATGTTGCAGCACAATATTTTCGAGATAATTTTTTTTTTAAATTATTGGTTGTATGAAAGAATTTTATAATTGAGAACTCAC